ATAGTGTTCTGTCGAGAGCCCAGGTTTTTCGGTGGTTCAATGCTTTTTCAGAAGGGAGAGAGTCGATTGAAGTTGAACCACTAAGCGGAAGGCCTTCATCTTCAAGAACCGATGAAAATATCGACAGAATCCGGGATCTCGTGTGTTCAGATCGTCGCTCACAATCAAAATGATCGGGAAAGAGCTAAGTTTGACTCACACCACCATTTTCAGTACGTGTTTTTGACCAGTAAAAACATTCCTGTGGCTCCCCAGCATCCTTATCCGCCTGACTTGAGTTCTTGTAACTTTTATTCTCCCCGAAGTTGAAGAATCACCGCAAGGGAACTGATTTTGAGTCAGTCGAAAACATTCAAATTGCTGTAACCGACCAGCTGAAGGCTATTCCAGTATCGGAGTTCTAGCCCTGCTATGAGGAGTGGAAGAATCATCTCCAGCGCTTCAGAAGGAAGATATTTTGAGGGTGACAATATAAAATTGTAATTATATTTGAATAAAAAAATTATCTCATCACTTAATTTACAGACCTCGTAAATTACATTCTATATTTATTATTGATTAATTATGTATTATAAGAATTACTACACTTCCACCGGTAGCGACTCGATTCTTTTACTAAATTATTCCCTTATTTCCAATAAGGAATTCTTGACTATCAGAGACTATATACAGTCATCCATACAAATTAGTGATACTATGTTGCTTTGCTATGAGCTGCTCTGATTTGATATATATATATATATATATATATATATATATATATATATATATATGCGGTCGGGACTATCGGAAATTCATTGTTGGAAAGAACCGACGAGCTGAACCCGTACAGAGTAGATGTCGATTTACCACTGCTTGATGCTATAAACGGCGGTGCGCGCGACCCGCCGTAGCCGATCGCTGAAAATTGTATTGGGGAATTTGCCTAAGTGTAGCTTCTGGGTTACCAATTCTGTGGTGTAAGTCCTCAGTAAAATGTGAATCTGTACCAGAAGTAGGTTTCCAGTCACCTTCCAAACACTGTATTTTAGAGAGAATTTTAATTAATTAATGCAATTTGTATATATGTGATCAAAGTTTAACAACACATGATTCGAGTTATATCTGTGCTTTGCACTGCTAGGAAAAAATAAATTCCAAGAGCTTTCAATCTGAACGATGGCATTGGGGGCGACAGATTCCATTACTCTTTTTGAGAACAGACACCGCACGTATCGGCGCTCAGCTCCCCACCAATAATGCATGGCTTAGGCCAACAGAGCCGTTTGACGTAGCAGGAGAGAACGGTCTCAGGGTCGCCGCACAGTGATAGGGTTACATTCGTGGAAAATGGAGAAAATAGGATATGCTTTGAGAAACATGACAATGGATTTCTGTTACTAATGGATTGTGAACGATTTCTCCGGAATATTCAAGAACAGTGACGTTGGCGACAAGTATATTCTCATTGTGCTTTTCCAGTAATGCTACCTATTTGTAAGTATATATATATTCTTACTCATCATGAAGGTTAAAGGTAATTTGAAATCTTTCTGTGATAAAGTGCTATATTGTACTTTCATTAATGGTTAAAACTATATGCAAAATTTCGTGAACTAATAATAACAATAATCATCATAATTATAGTAATATTCGCAATAGTAGTTGCAATTTTTTGTAATCGTAATTATACTTACTCTGCGTAAAGGAACAGCCACTCCATGTTCAGCCTCATTCTGCGTGAATCTCAATACCGAGGTAACAATTTCTCGGCTTTGACCACTTAAAAATTTATTTGCAACTTTACTTTCCATTTTTCAGAACCGAGTATATATTAAAACAACCTATAGCTAACGCAATTAAAATTTTTACTGGTGCTGTACCCCCGATGCTACCTCGATCGCTGCTGGTTTCTACTGGGGTGTCCCCACTACATTCCGCCGTGTTTACCGCGCATCTGACCTTGGCAGACCAAGCTAGATTTGTCAAGTCAAACTGTACCTGAAGACGATTATTCAAATCTCTACACAATTAAGAAGAAAAAATTATACTCTAGCGAAAATTGGAACGTGAGGTCCTGGCCGAAGAAGAGCCCCTGGCCGAAGAACCTCCGGAAAATGCAGCGCTCTTCCGTACTGCAGTTTCAAAAGTAAAAATGGCCCAAAATAAAAAAAAAGACGGCACGGGAAGAACGAAATGCACATTAAAAACGCAAAATAAACTGGAACTATAAGGACCTTCATATAGTATGGGCGCGTCCATTAATCACGTAAGGTGGTATTGACAATTTTCTAAACTCCTCTCCTTCTGGTGATGTTATGAGATTTTGCTAGATCCCTTCCCCGACCTTGATCTCATGTGAGATGTTTTAAACTTTCACTATGAATGCACTGGATTTAACCAAAAAACATTTGATTTATTATTTTCAAGGCTCTTTGAGATTAATATTCAATAATGCTTAAATCGTAGTATAAATCACAGTTATAAAATTGAACAATAAAATTAACAATATAATATTTATTTTAATTCAGTCCATGAGGACCCGTACGGTCTGAGGAGTGACTATTGGAAGCAACATATCCATGTGATTTTATACTATTTCTTGTGGGGAAAATTAGGTCATATTTTCCGAGGTCCACCCCCCATACATCACGTGAGATGGGATGATATTCAATTCAACTCCTTCCTCCCAGAACGCATCACGTACTTGATGCACCATCCATTATCGTATGGAAATAACTATGGCCCTCCACCAGTGGTAAATGGTATTAGTCTAAGATAATCAACAACGACATAAGGGGAACAATGAACATCTGTAGTAACGCTTTAAGGTGGATACCTATAAAAGTGTTATCTGATAGATGAAGCACATGCACGTGGGAGACTTGACTAAAAGGAAACGCGCAAGTAATTGACTAGATTTATGAGGCTATGAGAGTTTCAAATGTCAGATGTAGTCGATCTATTTGACTGTAAAAGGAGGTGATAATATTGCGCATCTTTATGATATTTACTGGATTAGAAATTGTGTGTATTGAACACATGTACACTTTCTGGGCCAAGCCTGTTTGGCTACGGTTCTCACTCTGGATGATCTCGTTAATCAATTTGCCTTGTTACATCATGGGCATAAGTTCTAACAATACACGGAAAATTTTATTGCAAATGGCCGCCACACCCAATTGCTGTGAATAGAATAAACATACTACCATAAATTGATACGTTTAATGGGAACATTCCAATGCGCATGCCGCGGACCCAGGAATGGTCATTTGGGTTTTGATGAAATTTGGCCTCAGAGTTAAGACTATGTGAGGGATGGAAAAAATTGTCTATTTTAAAAAATCGGTCCAGTGACAGACGAGTTGTGAGCGCAAAGCAATGACATTCCAAAAAAAGTTTTGATTGTTTTTCCAACTTCTTGGTGCTTTTTGAGCGTAGTAATTACTAAACAAGATTTTGTTATTTCATTGATTTATATTTTATTTTATAGCTCACAAGTACGTCTCAAAAATATGTTGTTAATAGCTTCAAAAAAAAATGCGTGTTTAGTATTCTTATGATGTACGTCTGACTTATCACACTACCGACGCGCGTTTTGCTGCGTGATAATTTGAGTAGCGCGCGTGTCATGCAAAACGTTCGTCAAGACATGTCGACCATGGATGTTATATGACATGTACATCACGAAAACCGTATAACACTCATTGCCATGTATGTCTGTATGCCTGCCATCTGTAAGTTGAAAGGAACCGGTCGGATTTTGATGAAATTGTCAGGGAAGGCCACTACTACAAGTATGTCAGGGATGAAAATAGTTTTTGAGAATCGGTCCAGTGGTGGCGGACAAAATCGCCCAAACTTCGACTTTTGACGTTACAGAGGATCCTGGTAATTTCTGAAAAATTGGAGGGTGGGGATTGTAAGAGGGTCAGTGAGGATATATTATCTCAATTTTTATGATGTTAGTATATTAGGCAGCAGCGGTGGCCGTAGTAGTAGACTCTTCGGTCTCCTGATCAGTCTCCGTGCGCTTTGCGGGTTCGAGTCCCGTCCCAGGAGAAATTTTTCTCATGGCTATGGATGTTGTGATTGTCCGTAGGTGGTAGACGGTCTCTGACTGTCAAACGCGGAGGTACCACCCGGCTGATCTCGTAGGCGCAGCCAGAATGTGTGCATGTTGCATGTACACGTGTTCCCTCGCCAGAGTCCGTGTGGCGCCCCCCCTTTCCCCTGTATCGCTCTATAACCCCACGGTACCCAATGGGTGTTTAGGCCTTAGGCCTTCGTGGTAGTTGGAGTATATAAAAAAAATTATTCGCTCCCAAACTTGGCCGTTTTACGCACCTGGATATATTTGACATATAGATATTCCCGTACACTTGCCCATTGCTGCCGCGTTGTGCGGTCAGATATGGGGGAGGGGCGACGTTACCATATAGTGTTACGGGTAGGGTAGGGAAAGTATGTCGATGGATTAATTGTGTGGGCCAGCTCGACTGTCTTCATTCCTCTGTTATAGTTGTTCGTAACTAACTGTTGTGTCTCCGAGGATCTGACTTGTGCTGAATTATTTTTGAATTGATGGCGGCGTTGCCTGAGAAGTGCAATCAACCCACTTGACTCCATTGTCTGTAACCTGACAATTCAACGTCCATATGTATAGGCAGTTAGCAAGACCAACTTTAATATCCAGTTTGACTATTCCAGTGCGTCTGCTAAGTCCGTATTTCTTATTATACCTCGAGTAACATAATTTTGTCCGGATACCGAAACTCACAACAAAGAAGGATCACTAAGAACCCTTAAGACCTCTACTACTCCGCCACCTCTGTCACATCGTCTGCGACCCCCAAAACTTCCCATCTTCCCACGCGTGGGCGGCCATAGGTCGAGACGCGGGGAAACGGGTGCTTGTCATGCGCGCGTCAATCGCCGCCCTTTGCCCAATGCCCTGCCGCCCACGTGACGTCACGTCCCCGGATCGATACTCCGGGCATCCCGGAGTCAGTCTTTCCGCGACCTCGACGGCACGAACATCGAACGTCGCGCGCCTGGGGTCGACGTCCACCTCGCGGATGCTGCCAGACATCGCCCATGTGTGGGCTAGCCTTTAGGACCAGAAACAGCCCCTCTCAAAAGACATCGTTGCGTTGGGGCGACTGCTGTCACTCGACACATACCGATATTAATATATAACGGTTAACTATTTATAAGAAACCTTCGCAAGGTTGTTAAGCAGTCACCTCCTGGATATTTTTGTACAGGTAAACAACCTCTATGCAACGAGCAATAAATCAAAGAATCCCGCCAGCTTATCCTAATATTCCTTGCTAATCCACATTCCCTGTCGTTTTACTAGCATGGTTCCTTTTGAACACAAATAGCATACTTCGATTAAGCGAGAATAATGTTCAAGAATGTAAAAAAGCTTTGACTATCCTATTATCTACTAAATCAATGTCTTTTCTACTGATGAGATCCATTGTTTTAGTATTAAGCCAATTTATTGATCTGAAAATTGCCTTCTCTCAAGCTTTCTGATGTTTTTTTGCTGACAGTGAGTGATGACATTCTCCGCCCATCACGCACTTTTGAGCAGTAATCAAAACTACACAAACACTGTAGTATCTGCTGGAACAAAAACTCCTGATCCCTGGAAATGCACAGTCGCCTTTACTTTTTGTGTTGACTCATTGACAGCAATCCTGAACTTAAGTAGCGTACTTCAATAAGCAGGCGGTAATGCTCAAGAATGTCAAAAATGCTCTTATTCTCTTACATGCCATTTATCAAAGTAAATTTCTCTATTTGGTACAAACCATCTTTTCACTTCCCAACTAATTTATCGATCTGACAATTACTGTTCCCAAGCTACCTTGTGCTATTTTCCTAAGTGATATATTTTTCTCATCCATTAATCGATGTCTGCCTATTATTTTCCATCCTCATGATTGAAAATGCGTAGCAGACTATCGAAAGTGCTATGAGCATAGTCATGTTTATCATCATCCACCCAGGTAACGACTGCCATCTCTATCTTGTCAAAATTGAATCTCTAGTAACTGAAGCAGATCATTTACATCCATTTTTTAAGAATGATGCGATTTACTCTACTCTTTTTTGCTCCTATATTGGAGGAAGCGTGTCTGAAATTCATATATAGGATGAGTGTTTCATTCATCATTTATTGGTCCCTGCGCTTTTCGCGCAATCAGCAGCTCAATTGAAGTGACCACAGACATTTTTAATTGATATAAAATGCACTCATATGACACTGATAATCCACATGACCATCACCATTACATCCATCGATCGGAATGTTATTACCGCGTGCAGGATTCGAACCCGCGGCCCGTCTAGTCGATGTATTAGTTACTCGACACTCTGACCAGGTCCCCCAAAGAAGATGTTCATATGTTTTGGAATATTATGAACACCGTTATACCGGAACAATACAGTTTATGTCAAACGATAAACGCCAGATAATTCAAGTGTTTCCCGTTACATCTGACAGATGCCTAACGTTTATGGCTGAGGTATCCTAAGGTCAGAACTGGGCAGAATCTATAACGTCACGGGATATCTTCACTCCACAGCTTTGGGGCTAAATTCTTTTTCCATGATTAGTTTCTGAAATACAGAGCCTCAAGGTTGGACACGCCGTAGACTATTGTATATATATTTACCTATGTTCTTATCGTTAGCCCTCCAGCAAAATTGCAATAATTCTATTATATCACGTGTACAGGGTGGTCCACACGTGTATTGAGGAAATATTGCTCCGAGAAACAACCTTTTTCAAGAAGTGTTCAGAGTTATCCTGCACCCCTTTGAGAATTTCGAGCATGTGCGGTGTTATACAAGTTTTTTTGAGAATAGTATGTTGTCTAAAAAACATGAAAGTATGACAATCTGTATCCCGTCCCCTTTAATAGATTGAATTGATTGCAACATTAAAAGGAATCTGTTTATTTCATCACATACACACAATTATTATTCGCATTATTCTTAACAACTACTGCTCGTAAAAACTTGCATGAGTCTACCCAAATATGTAAAAAAACTATAGGTGCCTATAAAAAAACTCTTTTCGAGGACATTACTCGTATAATTCTGAATATTTTGGCAATGGGAATGGTGTAAAATAATCCTGAATAGTTTTCAAAAACTTTCATACATATCGGCGAGTTCAAAAACTGTGGTGTCTCGGAGAAATACTATTTCCATGCAAGCTTGGGCCGCCCTGTACTTGTCACAGGATTGTAATGTTGTTGAATCGGCCAGTCGGGATAACGATAATAAAGTAAATTAATATCAAAGAGATATTACGCATCCTGCATGATGCAGACTGCCCAAATTGGAGTATCTGTAACTTCAGCGGAAAAACTTTAGGCCCATGGATAATTTTTGTTCTACGCGATGAGATCTACAACATTGTGACTGAAAAAAAAGAATACCAGAAATCCATTCTCCATAACATTTCTCTGGGATCTTTCAAATCTTAAATTTCGATAGCAAGTTTTGGCTATTATCCTTTATAGAAAAGAAGTAATATAGTAAAAATATACAGAGTGTTTTCTAAGTTGAGTCATTTACTTTAACTGCTTGTAGTTCTCGTCAAAATATACTAAGTGACATATAAATCCGAACACCCAGTTTAAATGGTTTTATTTTAATAAAAGTTGGTGAATGTATTTTTCTTACTGTAAATAACAAGTGAAAAAATTTTCAGCCTTATCAGTTGGACATTCCGGTTTTTATACTGCTTTTTTTTAATTCACTAACGCTCTAAAAATGAATATTTCAGCCGCAGTAAAGAATCAACGTTGGCGGATTTTGGTTCTTGACATCCTTTACGATCGGTTACGATGCCTAGAGTACGGAGACCTGTACGATTTCGTCAACTTAGTGAGTTTGATAGGGGCCGTATAGTGGGACTTCGGGAAGCTGGACTTTCTTTTCGGGCAATTGTAGTTAGAGTGCAAAGAAGTGTAGACACTGTGGTTAGGTGTTGTCAGGCATGGCTTCGAGAAGGCCGTACGCAAAGAGCAAGGGGCACTGTACGCCGCCGTAGAACAACAGACCGTGAAGATCGCCGCCTAAGATTATTGGCCTTAAGGGACCGTTTCTCCACTACCAGGTCCATTGCAAATGAATGGTTTGCAGAACACGGAAGACCTATTGGCATGCGAAGTGTTTACCGATGAATGAGAAGTTTTGGCTTGTTTTCATACCGGCCACACTGGGTCCTCCCTTTAACTCGAGAACACCGACGTAATCGCCTTGAGTGGTGCAGACAACGGTCACTCTGGGATCAGGAATGGAACAGTATTGTCTTTAGCGACGACTCTCGATTTTGTTTAGGCATGCACGATGGTCGTGCCAGGGTTAGAAGGCGACGTGGTGAAAGGAGGAATCCACAGTTTTTTGTTGAAAGACATGTTCATCACACTGTTGGAGTTATGGTTTGGGGTGCTATAGCTTATGGTTCCAGGTCACCTTTAATCTTCATCAGAGGTAACATGAACGCGCAGCGTTATATCCACGAAGTTCTAGAACCCCATCTTTTACCCTATCTTGACACCCTGGCAGATCCAACTTTTCAACAAGATAATTCCCGACCACATGTTGCAAGAGTCACAATAGACTTCTTTCAACATAATGATGTCACATTGTTACCATGGCCACCAAGATCTCCCGACTTATCCCCAATTGAGCACGTGTGGGATATGATGGGTAGGAGATTGCTCAATTTGCAACGTCCTCCTCAGACTCTAGAAGCACTTGGAGAGGAGTTGGTGGTTTCCTGGAATGAGATACCACAGTAGGACATTGACCACCTGATCAGAAGCATGCCTAGGCGCGTTGGAGAATGCGTAGCACATCACGGTGCATCCACACATTATTAAAGGTCAAAGGGCTTTAAAGCAGTGCAATCATTTTGAAATTTTTATCATTTACTTATTATGCTTCATTAAGTACTTATACAAAATTTTATTAAAATAAAACCATTTAAACTGGGTGTTCGGATTTATATGTCACTTAGTATAAGTTAATATACCAAAAATCATCTCCATAAAAGTTGGATAATAAAAAAATAGAAGAAATAAGGATTTTTTTCGGAGTCACAAAACGAGTGGCAAACTGACGAGAGAATTCCTCCATGCTATTTTGGCCTCCTAGTTGATGATCTATTCTGATCTCTCCTTGACTGTCAACTGCTCTCACAGTGAAACCACATTTAATTTTGTATACATACATGCAAGCATGCTTTTCCACTGTTTGACCATTCCTTTTACTGCGGAAATTTTCCTTCATTGAAATAATGTGACTGCTTATCAATATTGAGCCATCTATTATTTACTGAACCTTGAGCTTTCAACATTTTTACAATTACGGTAAACGCCTGTCATTCACGTTTGTGAAAATATTTATCATTCATTATTGATTATACTGGAAGCATGCTATATCCGAAGGAGACACATCGGCTAAAATAAGATAACATTTGAGAAATAGTAATACAAGGAACTGAATACATGTCTATACACGAGGCAGTATCAACTTACTTTTGTTTGTAGCGAACACAAATGTGAAAAGGCAATAGCGTGGTACTTGAGGTTGGAGAGAAACGAATGAATTATTCAAGTTTTCAGTTCTGAATCCAGATTATTGTCTATAGAAAGAATGAAAGAAATGAACTATATTCGATAAATCACCGGTGGATGGCATAGTATGTGTCAAAAAGACTATTGTACCCAAAATTGAGTTCATTAATAACTGTCCACTATCCCTTGCGTACAACCTAACAATTGGTATATAAAAATCAAGAAAGTACCAAACAATAGTCGAGTACAGCGCACAGCATAACACATCAAGAGAAATACGCAACAGAAACAAAATGCTAGGACTAGAAAAAAAATAACATACTAAAATTTTAAGGAACTGATTATTAAGATACCGAAACACTAAAATTGTATGGAACTGAACTTTATAAAGATAATAAAACATAGGGATACTAAAATAATGGAAAATGCATTAAGATCTCTTTAAATTGTGTCACTCTAAAACGAAACTAACAGAACATATAAATTTAAAAAGGTAAAATGATGTTAACAATCACACAGCACAACATAATCACACATTAAAATTAAATTAATTAATAATATGTAAATAATTTAGTCCTATGTTCATATCTAAAAGGTGTTCACCAACAGTATTGGCATTCATAAAAACTATATTTTAACTTTAAACACAATACATATGA